TTTAGATTGGGTAAATTTCTTAGGTTCCTGTAGGGTAGTAGATCATAGATCGACAGCTAAAAGTGGTGGGAACACCACACACAAGTAGATCAGCCTAAAACTCTAGAAATCACCTTAATCAACAATATGTCATGCAAGTAATGTAAATCAAGCACAAGTGACACAATGATTTATCCCATGGTTTGACTCACCACCAAGGCTTGCCTACCTCCACGTTGTTGAGGTTAGCCACTAAGGCTTAGAGCTTTCCTACCCTTCCTCGTTCTCAAGTCAAGAGACTTAACTCTTAAGACGAGGGGTGAATTTACTAGCTTGAAGAGATGGTTACAAACCTCCTAGGACTGCCACACAAGTTGGCAAGCTTCACGGCCGACGCTCTAGCCGGATAGGAGTCAAGCTCCAAGAGTAACAAACACAACCACCGGCTAAAACGTGAACTAAGTGCTCTTTAGAGTTTGGGAATCAATGGAGCTGCTCTCTAATCAAGTTTTGGACCCTTATCCCTTAAGGATTGATGGGGAAATCAATGGATTTGCTTGGGGGCTTGAGGTCAACAATGGAGTGAGAGAGAGAGCTCTTGCTCTATTTTGGGCGTGCTGAAGTGAGGAAGAAGAGAGCTTGTTGGTAAGTTACCATTGGGAAGGAAGGGTATATATATATATAGGAAAGGGAAAGGTATATATACCTCCCAGCCCCCAATGATCACAACACCCAAGGGATCGGCGAGATGGAGCCCACGGCCTTGAGGTCGGGCAAGGCGCTCGCGACCAAGAGGTCAGGCGAGATGGAGCCCGTGACCAAGGGGTCGGGCGAACCGGAGCCCACGACCAAGGGGTCGGGCGAGTCGGATCCTATGACCTTAGGGTTGGGCGAGACGGAGCCCTTGACCTTGGGGTCGGGCGAGTTGGAGCTCGCACCCAAGGGGTCGGACAAGTCGGAGCTCGCACCCAAGGGGTCGGGTGAGTCAGAGCTAGCACCCCGCAAGACAGCAAGGGTAATAGTGAAGTGTAGACTGTCTTGGCTATGAATCTGAGGATGCTTGTGGTTGTTTGAGCACTTGGTAGCACATATTAGATTAAGCATTGTGTCCCCCTTTATAGTACGACTTTTTTTATACTCGAATTCAAGATATAAAAGAATCTTAAACCTCTTTTGAATTTGAAGCCTACTATATTTGTAATTGGGGGCTCCTCCGTTTCATGTAGCATCCTCAAATATAAATTCCCTGCTTGTCATCTCGATAAATCTCAATAGTTCTCTAATTGCGTGGTCTTTATCACCAAAACCCACAATTAGAGCTTGATTGCACTTTCAGAGCTAACAAAGGAGAAAGGCGAGAATGAGAAATGATTTAGGGTTTGGGCATAGCGGCCAACCTAGGGCTCACCTGTCGTCGTCACCACCACCGACGTTGCACGGGAAGCAGCTCCCGTGCCACCATTCGGGGAGGCCACACCATCGAGGAGCCTCTACCTTAGGTCGGGGGGTCAAGGGCGTCGCCACAAGGCCGCTCGACAGCGGCGCGCTCACCCTCTTCCTCTGGCCGCCACAGGCGGCCGCCGTAGTCACCGCTCTCTGTCTCGACACTGAGGAAAGGAGAGGGAGGAAGAAGGAAATAAAGCTAGGGTTTTCAGGGAGTGACGCGGACGCCGTTTTTGATCGGCCACAAGCACCGGAGAGCCGTCTGATCCAGATGGATGGCTCTGGGTGCTCGGGCCAACTTTCAGCCCAGGCGGGGCGGTAGATCCCTGGCCCAGGCCTAGGTTGCGGCCTGGGCGTGCGCGATGGGTAAGTAGGCCGCTGGGCCATAGTTTCATCGCTGGGCCGCGGATCAAATTTTCACGTTTTTGGCCAAATGAACAGTAAATACTAAGGTTTTGTTTTATTATTTTCAGAAGCAAATTTTTTATGTTTTTGTCTAGTTTAAATCTCTGTCAAAATTTGAAGCAACAGGATAATTTTCAAAGAGTAGATGAGTACAGTAAAATGCTTCCTAGTATTGACCGTGGCACAACAGAAATGCATCGTCATGGTCAATACTAACCAAAAGATAAGAAAAGATGCAAGCGTGACTTGCAAAAGTACTGCTAATGAAAGACCTCGTTGAGTTCTTGAAGTGAAATAAGGAAAGTGTACTCCTAAACATATCAAGAAATAACTTTGTTTACATGACATAATCATGTGAATGAAGTAAGTTATAAGTGTCTCCTCATTCATAGGTTTTCTGAATAGTTCTCAAAATTATGGTAGTAAAGTTCATGCCATATTTCGAGGGGGAGAATATTAAATGATACCCTAAGCAGAGACATAGCTAAATTCCTAGACCTTTTAAAGTTCCGACAGGAAGACAGCGTAGTCAGCCTCAAAGATGTTAAGGTGGTGCTTAAAGCGCCATATGAGGTTTTAACATATTAAACCCAAAATAAGATATTTGAAGATACACTATCTTTGAAAAAGAATGAAAGATCTAGGGGGGTATGGTATGTAGAGGTATGTAGAGACCTAAGGCTTGAATATAAGAGGGACTGCGTGCCCACTCTAGTGACTCAGGAGCAACAAGTTTCTTAATACCTGTTGATGTTGTATGACTAATACAACACCTATTATTAGCTCTTCAAAAAAGATGAATAATGTTAACAAGGATCTTGTAATACAGGAGCATGTAGAATCAATTGCCTCTTGGCAATGAAGAGCAACAACAGCCTCATATGAAAGTGTTAGTAGCTGAGGCCCTAGAAGGTCTCAAAGAATTAGTAAACCAGTTTTTCTGATGACTATGAAGTATATGTTAGTAAAGAAATTCAAATGGAGGGTGATGCCACCTCATTTGAAGAAGCCATGAGAAGCGTTTACTCGTTTAAATGGTAAGAAGCTATGAAAGTTGAAATGAATTCGATGAATACCAATGATGTTTGGGACTTAGAAATAATTCCTAATGGAGCCAAAACAATAGGCTGTTAATGGATCTACAAGACAAAATGTGACTCCAAAGGGAATATAGAAAGATATAAAGCATGACTTGTAGCAATATGCTTTATGCAAAGAGAATGAATAGATTACAATGAGAGTTTTCTCTCCAGTCTTATGCAAGGATTCTTTTAGAATCATAATAGTATTAATGTCACATTACAATTTAGAGTTACATCAGATGGATGTAAAGACGACATTCCTCAACGGGGATTTGTATGAAAAGTTCATATGGCACAACCCAAAGGTTTTGTCATGGAAGAAAAAGAATGTATGGGATGTCGCCTGTAGAAATCCATTTATGGGTTAAAACAAGTCTCTAGATAGTAGTATTTGAAGTTGATAAAACAAAGATAAAGTTTGGGTTTTAAAGAAAATGAGAAGGACAATAGCGTTTATGCGAAGTTCAAGAATGGAAAATTCATTTTCCAAATCCTATGAATAGATGACATTCTACTCACTAGTAGTGATGTTAATCTATCATTGGAGAAGAAGTTTTTGTCCTCAAGTTTCAATGTGAATGATCTTGGTGAAGCATCATTGGTTCTAGGAATCGAAATTCACCGAGATGGAAGAAAATGGGGTATTAGGACTATCGCAAAGGCATACTTAAAAAAGATTCTAAAGAAATAAAGTATGCTTACGAATAAACCTACGCCTGCTCATATAGTCAAGGGTAATAGATTTGAGAACTTCAGTGTTTCAGGAACCGATATGAGATCGATCAAATGAACATGGTTCCAGATGCTTCAGCTGTTGAAAGCTCAATGAGTGTACAAGTAAAAACTTACCCTGACGTAGTTCACGTATCCGAGAAGTTTTGGCAGAAGTCCAGTCCAGATATAGATCACTGGAATGGAGTTAAGAATGTCTTGCAATTTTGCAAAGTATCATAGGCCTCATGCTGAGTAAGAAAGAACAAGTACTCTCAAATAGTTATGGGTACAAATGTTAAACCTTGGCGAGATGTGTAGTAAAATCCACAGTAGTTGCTAACACTCGCAGTTTGAGTAATATAATGGAAAAGCTCCAAAGAAACAGTTGTGGTGTCATCAATGATGCATACCATAGTATAGTTTGTCATGAGGCTTCGGGAACAGGCAAAAGGTGGTTAAGGGAATCTGTACCTATATTTAACAATGGTAGACAACAGCAATAACCATTTAAAGTAAGTTAACTCCTAAGACAACAGGTCAAGTGTGCTGCCAAACACATTGACACTTAGTTATATGTTGTAAAGGAGAAAAGTTAGAATTATTTTGAAAGCATTGAGCATATAAGTACTGAGCAAGTACTTGCGGATCCGCTTACCAAAGGCTAACCACCCAGTGCGTTCAGAGAACACACAGTCGACATGGGTTTACGGGAAAGCCTATGATTTCTGAATACATAAGAATCTGTTTCAAAATAGAGAGGTGCATTGTAGTTGTTTAATCTAGTGGCAACTGACCGTGATGATGAGGCACGCTCTATGCACTGATCTATGATGGAATAGGAAAAAGATAAAGTAAGTTAAGTTTAAGTTATAAGATGAGATCAAGGGGGAGAATGTTAGGTTGATCTCCACCAATTTGGCCCAACGGCCGGATTGAGCCCTTGATCCACGGCCTGATTGGAGGTGCTCAGCTGTTCTAAGTGGTTGATGGGCCCCCGTCGCGCAGCACTATAAATAGGAGGTGGGGGCTGGGGCTCGAGACACGAGGTTCACCACAGCCACTAGCCCCCACCGTGATTCCTAGCCCTAGTCCAATCTAGAAGGGCGTGCTGTGAGTGATAGGAAGCATTATCGCCTTCGCCGCCGCCACCAGACCGGGTCTGCACTGCTGCTACTTCGTCGCCAGCGCCATGGCTATGACTGGAGACTCAAGATTCTGAGCGTCGCTGCGTCACCATGGCCACGACATCAGTCAGGCGAGGTACATAAGTTATGTTTTACCCACTAGATCTACGCCTAGATAGTCAAAGAATTCTATCAGGTGGATGATGCCGATTTCCTAAAAAACAAGGATTGACATGGTATCTAGGAGGAGAACCTTGCATGAGCAATGATGGAGATCCATCACGCGGATTGGTGACACTATCGATCAACACTTTGGTAGCACCATGTGGTATCTGTTTCAAGAAGAGGGAATTCAGCAACAAACTAGAATATGTATGGCATAATATGATGAACTTGTCAAGATGGGCAACTGTTCTGTGCTCCATCAAGGCTACGAAATTGATAAGAAATGATGTTCACCTCATCTACAGCATTGTCCAGAAGCTCCGCTAGAGCTGAGAGAGTGACAGAGAAAGCATATGAGAACATAATATACATAGGAACAATCATGTAGTATGACTATGAATACAAAATGATTAATATGCATACCACCAAATGTCCACTGATGTGAAGTTTCATTTTCGTCATGAAACTTGGGGCGAACAGTCTCCCGGTAGATATGGTCTCATCACAAATTAGTTTGACAAAAACTATAGTAAGACAGTACTTAATGGGGATATAGATCTGTATATGTATGTACAATACACATATGATGCAATGTTGCAGTTCAGATCAATGCAATGTACTACCTTGAGCTTGTCTCGAAGGACACTGTATTTGATTTCTACCACTAGCTCCTAACACTTGGCTGCTGAGCCTTGAAGTTGATCCTGCGGACTGAGAAGTTGATCCATCTGTTGCTAGGGCACTCGGTTTGCCTGTTAGTGTTGAGTAAGCAGGGTTGAGTACACGGCAGACTTGGGCATCTCGTTCGCGCTTTCCTAGATGATTGCTGGATTGGTAGGTGTCTATTTGTGATCTATGTTGACGGGAGTATACTTCTGTCCCCTTCAAGTCCATGGGGGTGTATCTTCTGAACTCCTATCCACGAACATCCATAACACAAAGGATTAGCCAAATGACACATATGACACAGACATAAGTGTATCATACATTTGAATGACAATGCTCATACCCATATTGTTAAAAAAAGTGTATTGGACAATAGAATTTAATAAAAGGAATAACATTGCAATGCCTCATAAAATGCAAGAGAAATGAAATGTGGTTGGAAACATGAAGATTTTGCAAGGAATGCTCTTTTGATTAGTTTTTGCTACAAGTAAATGATAGTGAGTGATCTTTTGCTTATATATCTTTTATAAAAGAATAATACGACATTTGAAATTACAAAAGGGGTTTAGCTTGTAATTTATAGATTAACGAAAGCATGTTGGCAAAAAAGCATATCACAGCCGTGTGAAATGTACTCAGACAATTCCAAATTTACGATAATCTAAAATATGTAACATTCACTTGTGCAACATTGTTGCGGAGATGAAAGTACCCTCTTGAATAAGTTACAAAGGATACTCACTTTGCTTGTCATCACTGGCTCCTAAGGATTCGTTGCCGATCCTCGATATTGAACTAGTGACACTGGAACTACTCCCTCTTGATCTTGGAGGTCGGGCACTCATTTTGGCTTGTAGTATGAGTATGGCGGTGTGAGAGGGGTTGCCTCCCACTTGCCACATGTGTGCTATACAAATGCACAACAGAGTTCCCTCTATGACAATTGGTATGGCTTATGGCCCAATGGGTCAATTCTCTATCATGTCTTGTCCATATCCATATGGGAATACTAGGTAGAGGCTACAAAATGATTAATAGAAGATAAAGAAACATGGTCCGGATACTAGACATTAAGACATATAGTAACTACAAAACAATAATTAAAAATTGATAGAATGGAATGGAGATTCCATAAGCTAAATAGAACTTCTCAGTGTGCTATATAATACTCCTGCTATTCAGTTAAGCAAAAGGGGGGCTTGGCTATGCCATGAGCCATCATGCTTTTGTCGAGTGTGTGGCCCCTCGTCTCCACCTTCCTGCTTCTATGTATCCTCTTTCCTCCTCCTGCCACCTCCTCTTTCTTGCGTGCCCCTATAGCATCGTCCTAACCCATGTTCCCACTAGTGTCGACATGTCATGTTTGGTAATTGGTAGTGTGGTTGGCAGCCGCTCTAATGCATTTCCTTCCAATTTAGGTGGTGACCAGAACCTTATCGAACCACCAACCATCGCTTCCCTAAAATCCGTCTTGATGCCCAAAACCTAATTGTCATCCCCGAATCATAAACCCCACCTAACACAATCCTAATCTAGCGTTTAATCATTCAACCTTCTTGAAGCATGCTTTTCAAGAGAGGCATAATTTTTTGGTAAACAATCACATACCATGCTCTTTGTGAACGGGCTTGCTCTTGGTAAGGTGTATCTCCTTGGAGCCACTAGTGAGGTTGAACCAATGTCGTCGTTGGTTGAACCACTTACCAAGTGCCTCCCTTTCTCGTTACACTATAAGTGGCGGCCTTGGTGCAAGATGTGGCAGCAAGAGAGGTGCATAAGTAGTGGCAATGGAGTTGCAGAGACTAAATGAAGAGGTAACAATGCTTTGTCGCGAGGAGCATGATGCAATGGTGTATGCAATGGCAAGAGGAAACACGAATATTGTGGCGGCGCAATTTGGTTTCAAAGATATGTAAGAGCTATGACGGAGGTGACGATGCAATTAGGTTTCGAATAGATATGTGTGGGTGGCGTTATTTATAAGGTGGGAGAGTCATGTGTAAGCATTAGATCTATATCCAAGGGCTGAAAAGTTACTAGTCGTGGTTCCAAAATTAGAAATTTTGAGTATAAAACAAAGCCGTCATATTCCTTATTTGGTTGGCCAAGTGTGAATACGCATCGAAGGTTGATACTACACCGGAGTATGGGTAGGGCCGGTTGAAGCCCATGTAGGAGTATGTGCAGGGATGGTTGAAGCCCACGCAACCTGATAAAAAGAGGTCTGTTGCACGTGACTAATCGGAGCAAATCCTCCTTCTGACCACCCCCACGTAGTCTCATTTTCTATATGCAGGCGGCTCAATAAGCTAATTTTCTATATGTTAGGCCCACGTAAACTAATGAATGGATCTAGAGGGCTAGAGAGGCGGGGGTGAATAGCCTATAAAACATTCGCTATAAAAGCACAAACACTAGAGCAAATTAGTTAGTATAATTAGCAAGACTAATAGCCACTACTTTGCCTAGCTCTGTCTCACCCAAATGAAAGCCTCCTAAACAATTCTAGTAACGAGGTTGTGGCAGAACCGCCTAATCTAATGCCCTCCCAATAGTACTTGTCTTCCATTAGACACTAAGTACCCAAGAGAGTGCACTAAATCATGCCGTTCCGTCAAGCTCACCCCAAGGAAGAACTCGAAAATTCACATTCTTCCGTTAGGATCATAAATGAGAGAATAAAGATTACAACATTCTTAATCATTTCTTACATCACTTTATTACAACATTAGAGTACTTAAACAAGTTGAATGTAATAGCGGAATTAAGACAGTTTTACTTGTAAAAGAGTTTATACATTTTAGGTTCACATTTTTATCTTATTGCGGAGAACAACATATGATTACAGTTATAGTAGAAATAAAGGTTAATGGTGAATCATTAACATAGTGAACATTTATAAACCAAATATGATGATAGATCATAAAACTTTTCTTCTAAAAACTTTTAGTGAGGGATATAAATAAACACTATGGTCGTAGCATGAAAGGAATCCTCTATGAGCCCACCAAGAGGTTTCCACACACAAGAGTCAGATCTGTGTATCCTCCAGTCACCTGCAACTGGGGGAATAAAACCCTAAGTACTCGATTGTACTCAGCAAGACTTTCCCGACAGGAGGAAAATAAAAGACTCCAAGAATATGCAAGGCTATCTGGCTTGTGGGTTATTGCATCTACAGCAAGCATTACTAAACATGCGCCCTTATATTCAATTTTATTAGCAGTCATCATTAGTTCATTAACTAACCATTCTATGTAAGCACCTATGCTACATTCAAGCATGTGGTAAGCAAGCAGAACTATTTTACCATCTTTCATATTCCAGTTCTTACTACAGTGCTAGACTATAGCCAAGTCATACCGTCTCACAGAAACGATGATTCGTTAATCAATGTATCCCAGCTGGGTACCCCGAAACACACGCCATGCTTGTACCCCAGGCACAAACAAGACCAACCCGTTCCACTCCTGTTAAGGGCTCCAGGTCCCTATCCAAACTTGGACTCCAAGCCCCCAACACCTAAGACCCAGTCTCAGTATGGTGCTTAGACCTCCACCTAATACCCACCCCTAAAAGTCGGTCCGAAAAGAGCCAGAACCCATGATAAGAGGGTAACAAGTCTTTCCGCTCCCATAAGCAAGTTGTGCTTAGGATAATAAGTCTGTGACCTGACTACCATCCACAACAATGGACGGTCCTCAATCGACATAGGCGGAACAAGTGCAACCAGAGCCTCGCTCAATTGCCCAACACAATCCAATTTCAAATCCAAAGTACAGTTGTGCCCGGTCCCCAATTATTATCCATTCATATTCCATGTGATGATAATAGTAACAATAATATCTTTTCCTATCTCTCGTGAGTGATAGGTAATCACTCGATTTCTATCGGAATCCTATAGCATAGCAATCTACATGATCCTATCATACTAGTAAGACTCATATGATAAGAATATATTTATGCAAGTGAATTTCATTCAACTCCTTTAAACTTAATGCACAAGCATAAACTAAAGTGCAGAATAATAGGGGTTATGCACCGGGGCTTGCCTGGGTAAGATATAACCAAAAGTTAGCATTCCATCATGGTGACACGATCATCAAGGCACCATCTTTTCCACTACTTCGATCATCTCCACGATCCATCGTTGTTCCTATTATGACATACGTGGATGCAACACAGAGACGCAATTAATTAATGGTAACCGCAACTCTTAAAATACAATTACGCCTCTCAAGCTACGAGCTAGCTCTAATGACTAATATACTAGGCTACATATCCACATTGTTGCATAAGGCATTGTTTCCCGATAAGTGTTTTAGTTCTACAATCCCAAGGTGTTTCTTACTTTATTTTATTGATTTAATATATATTCAAACTAGGGCTCATTAGCTATCTTAGCAAACTAATTATTATGGAGCTACAAAAATTACAGTGAGCACCTAATAATATTAGGAATTTACTATGAAATTTTTAGAGCCAACACTATCTCCAATTTATTACAAAATTCCTACAAGTTTATATCTTAACAATATTAAGCGTCTCAATTTAATTAGATAACTCCTGAAACTACTATGAAGCTATGTGAACAAGATATACTAGCAGATACATCATGATTTTAAAAACCTAACAAAATTAGTTTCACCATTTTCGATCAACTACACAAATTTATATGGAATTTACAAGTCTGGTTTAGAAACTAAATTAGAAAACACTTTAGGAAAAAGGAAAAGGCCAGTGGCGACTAATCCGACCCAACGGCCCACGAAGCCCACGCGGGGCGTGGTCATGCTCGGCCGGTTGACCTAGCAATGGCCCAAGGTGGGAGAGCCCCGCATGCTTGCGCTTTTGCAAAAGAGGGCTCACACTATTAGACAATCAAGCGACACAGTGAATCACTATTTCATTAGACTCAAGCTTTGCACAAAACACCCTTGTCGGGTTCATAAACCCAGGGTCCCTCATGGACTGGCTTCCCAACAAAGGCCTGGCCCAGCAGACAACGTTGCAAATGGCGCGCAACTCCTGGGCCGGCCCAAATACCTAAAACAACAGGCCAGAAGGACGATCCGATTTCCGACCGGGAGGCCTGGCCGAGGAGGAACGACGCCCGCTTCCGACTCTGGCCCGCCTCTCCGACCGGAAGGCCTCACAAAGAAGGAACAATGCTCGCTTCCAACTCTAGCCCACCTCAGATGGCCTCTCTAATCGGAAGGCTAGGC